ATATGGCAGTAGCGACCCTCTTGTCCACGGAGGGGTCGGGAAGGAATTTTCCTCCAGGGTAGATTGGCAGAGGCCCTGGAGGTTTTTCGCCTTCCTCTGTAGCATGGGGTACAGATCACAGCTAGAGGATTCTCTGCATCTTGGGGTCTTCAAAGTATTTGAAGGCTTCAATATCTGAGATATAGGTGAGAGGATTATTCTGGGAGGGGTGGGTGAGATTCTGTGGCCTGCACTGTGCAGGGGGTTAGACTAGATGATCATAATGGTCCCTTCTGACCTTAAAGTCTATGAGTCTATGAGGTCAAGGAACGTCCACTTTTGCATCCGAAAGTTCTGGAGCCATTGCTGGTCGTCCCATTGTCCCAGGACCAACTGGTCCCACCAGTCGGTACTGGTGTCCAATCTCCACAAGGGCCTCTCCACAGTGGGGTGGGGATGCCACCAGGACCGGACTGAGGCATGGGTGAGCCAGGCAGCTGCCCGGGGTGCCAACCGATGGGGGGCACCTGATGGCAGCTGTAAGGGGTGCGCGGCGTCTCTTATAGCTGCCATCAGGTGCCACACGCCCAGCTCCCACAGCGCCAGCCCCCACTCTCATCCCCACGGCGCCGGCCAGCAGTGCCCTCCCCCCACAGTCGTGGGGTCCTGCACAGTCCAGTGTGCGCCAGCAGCACAGGCTGGACTGGGCTGGGCAGTGCATGCGCCGTGCACCCCGGGGGCAGACCTGAGCACCCTGGGGGGGCTGGCCCGTGCCCCACAGGTGGGCCCGCGCAGGCACTGTGCACCCGGGGGCGGCACCACGCGCCTGGGCCCAGGGCACCATATGTGCTCGGGCCGGCCCTGGATGCCACAGGGATGCCATGGACTCCCTGGTGAGGGAGTCCAGAGTGACCTGCGCCTCAAGGTCCTGGACAACGAGTGCAGCAGCATGGAGCAGCAGCTGCAGGCACTCCAAAATGGCTGGAAGGGGCCAGAGCAGGCACAAGGCCACCTCTGGCTCCATGGCACAAAAAAAGAGCTGAGGTCAAAAAATCAACTAATGGCACTAAGGCACAAGGCTGTGGTGTCCAACAAGGCAGAGGGCAACCACAACTAGAGCTACTACAGCTGTCAGTCCCTGCAAGAGGTCCTATAGCACGCAGCAGGAGAGAAACGGCTGGCCAGGGAGATCCCTTTAAGCACGTGTCTCAAAGGAGTTTCAGCCCCCACCCCCGGAAAGGGCTGGTGCTCTTTTGCCCGCTCCAAAATGGTTCCAGGTTCCTGCTTTTGCGCAAGAGCGTCCCGCCAATGTAGACGCTCTCTTGCGCAAAAGTGCATCGTTCTTACAATGAGTCCCGGCCAATATAGACGCTCTCTTGGCCGTTAAAGAGCAGTTGCTCAAAATCATGCCAGTGTAGACATAGCCCATCAGATGATACAGGAAATGAATGGCAAGAGAAACTCTCTCCTACAGACCCCCAAACTTAGTTTAAGCACATTGGGAGGGTAATGTGATTCAACACGTGCTGCTGCAGTCACTGTGGTATCTCTTCTCTGGATTATATACAAGTCTTTTAATTTTTAGGGCTCTCTGGCATTTTTCTGAGCATTTCAGTTATTCAAAGGAAAATAAAAAGGACAGGTAGAAGAAAATCTTACTACAAAAAAAGTCTGCTCAGAATCCTGTGTAACATCAAAGCAACTACATGACAAGAACAGCCTTTTCTTTAGAAAGAGCCATAGTAAAACCACTACTTTCCAAGAGCTAACAATGCAGCCCTTCTAATTTAAAGAATACCTGCCATTAGCTACTCCAATATAACAACATGTCTGGGATCATAACTATCCGCTGATCTTAAATCAAAATCAAGCAATGCTGGCATTCTGCTTGTATGATCTTTTCTGCTGTCAAGAGCAGTCATCAGGATGGGGGCCAAGTACCAAGAAAGCAGAAGAAAAGAAGCCTTGGCATTGTGATCTAGCCAAAATGAAATCTGAATCTTCTAACTAAAAAGTAGAGGTAAGCTTAATTGAAAAATAAGTATAAAAATATAAAATGAAAAAACAACGTAATCCTTGTTAAAATACACTGTAAGCTTAGAAATTATCTTGAACTAGCAGTAACATAATGAGAATCACGCAATGGCTTCCTGGATATTCCATGGCTGGTGATATGACTGCTTCTGAACTGCTGAAAAGCAAATATTAATTGGAGAGAGGTATGCTTTTTCTTTGTCAATGGGGATCCATGAGAGTGCAAGAGTTTGCAGGAAAGGGACATTGTGTTTTATTACTCTAATGGCTGTTAGAAAGGATTCAGTTTGACATCTGAATGACACTATTGTCTGATAAGCTGTATATTCTAATCAAAACATTTGTTATTTTTTAATTAAATGTCAGATTTTAATTTCATCATGAAAAAAAATAACAAGATACTTTTGAAAAAGAGTTGGCGAGTCATTTTGACCATGCATAGGCCTCTGTTATTTTTACGTTTTATGGATCGCTTCGCACTTGGAGCAGTTTTTGAGGTGTAGTTTGCTATCTCAAAGGGTACGTGTAGAGTACATGGCTCCGTCGACGGAGCCATGTACTCTACACGTACCCTTTGAGATAGCAAACTACACCTCAAAAACTGCTCCAAGTGCGAAGCGATCCATAAAACGTAAAAATAACAGAGGCCTATGCATGGTCAAAATGACTCGCCAACTCTTTTTCAAAAGTATCTTGTTATTTTTTTTCATGATGAAATTAAAATCTGACATTTAATTAAAAAATAACAAATGTTTTGATTAGAATATACAGCTTATCAGACAATAGTGTCATTCAGATGTCAAACTGAATCCTTTCTAACAGCCATTAGAGTAATAAAACACAATGTCCCTTTCCTGCAAACTCTTGCACTCTCATGGATCCCCATTGACAAAGAAAAAGCATACCTCTCTCCAATTAATATTTGCTTTTCAGCAGTTCAGAAGCAGTCATATCACCAGCCATGGAATATCCAGGAAGCCATTGCGTGATTCTCATTATGTTACTGCTAGTTCAAGATAATTTCTAAGCTTACAGTGTATCCTGCAGTCTGCATGACCCATCCGGGAAGAGCCCACATAGCCAGCAGACAGAGGGAGAATGGTCAGGAGGCTGGGCACAGGTGGCTGCATGCAGGGGAAACAATAGATTTGCTAGGCCCTTGAGCAAGGTGGGAGGTATGACTCTGTGCTCCCAAAAGAGGTGGAGTCCTGGGCAGAAGGGGCCAATGTGGGGGCAGCAAGCCCTCAGCACCTCCCACAATGTGCTATGACACACCCACTCCCAGCAGCCTGCTCAGCCTCCTAAAGTGTGCCATATTGGGCTCCAGCAGTGATTTAAAGCCCTGGAGTTCTGGCTGCTTCCCTTTTGAATGGCTGGGACCCAGAGCAGCTGTCCCACCCGTCGGCGAGCCTTTGCTGTTGCCCCACCACAGGTAGTGCCCTGCCTCAGGGGGTGAGACTTACCAGTTCAGACTAACCATGAGGGGCTGGAGCAACTCTCCACCCGCTCTGGGAAGGAGAGTGCTCCAGCTCTGTTCGGCCTGTCACGGCAGCCTGTCTGCACTGGGCCCACCCCCGCCCCACACCCACTGCAAGTTACATAGTGTGGCTCCCCGGGAGAGGGGTCAGAGCAAGGGGAGCCTGCTGCAGAGCCCACAGCAAAGCTTCCCTTGTGACTGGGAGGCCGATAACCCTTGCCAGTCCCGCTCCTGGAGAGGAGACGTCACTGCAGCAGCGAAACCCTTCCCTGGGAGCGGAGCTGACAGCCCTTGCTGGCCCTGTTGCCAGGGAGGCAGCTTTGCTGCAGGCTCTGCAATACAAAGCAAAGCGTTATACTACAGAGCCCTCAGCGCATGTAACCGCCAAAAGTTTTAGAGGTTGCATGGTTACTTTTTTAAGTGACTTTTTACATCTCTAGTGTCAATGTAGAGTAACATCAGCACTACAAATCAAGAGCACTCATTTCATAACAAAAATAAACCAGCAACTCTACATGCCTCTTCTAAAAGAAACCACCCCATACAGTTCTTCTACAAACTGATTCAGAGGTAAAGGGTTTCATCGATCTTTAAATGTCAATTTTCAATTCTACTCCTTGGAATCAGAATATACAATTTGTAAATCACAATATGGTACCATTGCAGATGCACTGTTGGATCCAACATGCTCAAGTTATAAAGCATGATGCATAATTATAACACATTTAAATGGCAGTTTAGGGAAACATCAGAAGCTATGAAAATTATAATTCATTTTTGCTGACAGATTAACTGAACCATATTAACAATTTTTGAGCTATTAGTAATAAGAAAAATAGTCCATTAATGTCTCAACATCATCTGTACAGAGTGGATATTCTATCTAGACATAAAAAATAATTCTTAGCCCATAAGGGGAGGAAAGACATTTCCCAACAAGTACATTTATTATTACATTTCTAAATTGCTGCCATGACACAGTGGGGAAGCAAATCAGAAGTTGCCTCCAGCAAGTCTGAAGTGTGATTAGTCTATGCAGCTATTGGCTAATTGGCGTTCTACATTTGTTCTATTCCCTATGAGTTTAAGTCATTTTGTTTTATCAAAATCGGGCAGCCAGCATGGGATCCTCTGGGACACTAATGTTCTTGGAGCAAACTCGCTTTTTTTCGATACAGATAAATGACAAAGTGGTTCTGCTTCTGCTTTTTTTCATTGGTTATGCTTGGACCAAAAGCATAAAAACTTGGGCGACCCCAAATTATTTAGCTTACATTATACATGCCATGTATCACTTAAGACTGTCTTTTATAAATTGAGCTGAGGCTTTGAATGCAGCGTACAGATACATTTGATCTGGAAATGGATGTGGCAAAGTGCACTGAAAATCTAATGACCTCATTGGGATTTACACCAATCTGTTATTCCAGACATTCACAGCATAACCAAGACCGGAATCAGGCCCTGCACGTTCAGAAACATACATGATGAGATATTTCTAAGTACTCACCATTATTTTGAAGGATGTAAGTTCTTGTTCGCATATTTTGCTTCACTTTTGCAGGTTTGTTAGAAAAACTCATCTTCCCTTCAGTCTGTTCTCTCTTTTCCTTTCTCTTTGGAGGCTGAGGGGATGACAACATGTCTCCTGTGTGACTGTAGTCAACAGTAGATTTAGACTGGCGATCATTTCCCTAAGAAAAATCATTTGGCATTTTCATTGGTAAATATAGGATAATATTGTAAAGTTTCACTGTAGCCTACCATACTTTATACAGCAAATATAAAGCCAGATACATTCACTAGCCACCAGTGCTTTTTCATGTTACCTGCAGATGTTACCTAAAATAGTCCAAGAATCCATATCTCCCAATGGAAACTCACCATGGCAAATTCAGAAGAACAGATCTGAAAGCTATCTTTGATAAAGGAAGGCAAAATGACATGGCAATGCATATTAAAAGGATATGCAGAAGTTGTTTTTTGTAGGCGCCCAGTCCCCCACAGCTCCCACTGACTTCATTTGGAGTTGCGGGTGTTCACTGTTTCGACACAATAATTTTCTCTAATAAGCAGCATGCACTTCTTCCCTTTGATTGACCATATTTCAGTTTAACACAATATTTAACCTGAAAAAATGTGACTTCCAGGTGTTTTTTTCTTAGATTAAACTGGTTCACAATAATTTTTTTAAAGTTATACCATAAATATGTATGCAGCAGAGATTACATATCCCAGACACAGACAGTACCATTTAGTTAAATCACAAAGGCCAGGTAATTTCCAGTTGGTACTTCAATGGATGAAGCTGTTTGATTAAGTCTTGAACACTAGAGGGCCCTGTAATTCTACAAAGTACCAACGCCGGCAGAATAGACAAAGACAGCAAGCCTCCCCCACCATTTTCCCCTCCCCACCTCACCCCCATGCTGCTGAAGGTGAGAGGCAATGTCTATCTTTAACCAGAAGTCTCATGACTGGCTTCACTACAATAACCTTTGCTTAACCAAAAATTCTGCATGCATCATGCATCCTGCCATTTTTTAAATAAAAACAACATTTGTATTATGGTTCTTCTGATTTGTATACAGTCAATAGATATGTCACCTCATTACATTTAAAGATGGTTTTTATTTGTTTTGTGTAATCAGGAATGAGGATATAGCCACATTTCAACTTTTTCTTTCAATGCCTACAAATTCTAAAATTCATAACACATCAGAGTGCTGGTCCATACTGACAGCAGCAGTAAAACTTTAGGTGTCTATTAAGGTCAATGGAATTCCACTGATTGACACTAATTGAGAATCTTATACCAGATAGTTAATATTAATGCTACATATTCCGCAAAAGTCTGCACATATAATAAAATATCTACCATGCATCAGTGTATCAATTGTTCATTTTTTAATTTTGTCTTCATTCCTTCTCTATATAGAATACCGTATATTCCGGCGTACAAGACTACCTCTGAAGTTAAAAAACATCCCTCAAAAATCGGGGGTCGTCTTGTACGCCGGATGCCCCGCTGCCGGAGCCCCTCCGCGGCTTTGAAAGCCTCGGGGGAAGCCGGCGGCGGGGCAGCCCATGCGCGCCTGGGATGCCCCGAAAGCCGCCAAGCTGTATACCCCGCGTATAAGACGAACCCCGATT